CCGCCCGCTGCTCCCCTCAGCAGCGTTCTTTGTCCATCTGCCTGTTTTGCTGCCCGCTCTGTCTCTGGTGAAGCCTCTCTCCGCCCCTGAGCCTCTGGCCTGTACCCCAGTTCTGTATGCACAAATGAATTTAAAAAAAAAAAAAAAAAAAACCCTGCTCCCAGGACCTTTTTAAAAGGGATTTATAAAGGGCTATCTCCCAGGAGTGCTTGCATATTAAATAGAAAGGCTGACTGGCGGAAGTTCCTGTTGTGGAAAGACCAGGAGGACTCCCGGAAAAAACCCGGACCTAGACTGTCGAGCCAGACGCCTCATCTGTCTCGGGATAACCGCAGCGTGTCCTGTCTCCTCAGAAGTCCACCCACGGCGGCCATCTTGCTCAGCGGAGACAGCACCTTCCTGTGGGAGGATTCCCGGGCAGCCCCGTGGCTGCTGCAGAGAGACACCCAGACCTGCATGGAAAGCTTAGCTGTGGGTCTGTCACCCAGAATCAGGGGACCCCCAGGGGCGCCCAAAGAGAGAGCTCCTGGCCACACCAGAGGGAGTTTTCTCTAATTACTCCTACTTCTTCTTGAACAGCCGGAGATACCAAAAATTCCACGGCTATTGACCTCACTTTTATTTATCACTAAAAATTAACAACACTCAGAGGCACTCTCTGTGCGTCTGCTTTGTTTCCAAGCAAGAGCGACAATAGCAGATCTCCCGCGAGCACCATATTTCCTGTCTCCTCTTCAGTAGAGCGCCAACGTGCGCTGCATCGTCTGCTTCTTGCCCGTTTGGCTGGAAGGAGATCTCAGGCTCACGTCCCACGTTAAGGCTCACAGGGAACGGAGTGACCCTCCTTACCTCCTAGGGATGTGTCGTGGCGGGTGGGAGAGGCGGGTTTGCCCAGACTGCAGGAGTCTGCTGCTCGTGCTCTGGGTGAGGCCCAGGGGCGAGGAGACCACGACCTGCCTTTTCCTAGAGGGCTTGGAGCCTTTCGGGGAAAATTCGTTCATGGACAGGCCTGATACCAGTGGGGGAGAAAACAGAGATATCGGAGTTGTGCATCTTAGAATCGCATCCATATGTGAAACGAGCCAGGCCGTCATGACATGGCCATTTACTGGGCTCGCTGACCTGTCTCCATTCCAGCGTGAGTGAGCTGCCCACTTCCCCTCCAGTGGGGAGGCGATATTTTCACAGCTGCTTTTTCATTTCCAGTCGGAACAGGAGGGTTTATAGGTTTGAGCGTAGGCCCAAAGGGACAGGAATTCTTCCCCTTTCTTCTTAGGGTGCTATTCA